TGGCGCTGCCACGCACGCGACCTATTATTTGTTTAATAATTACGTCGCGGAATCTTGAAGGTCCACCGTGAAGCTAACGGTGCGTAGTTTTCTTTTTTTGGTCAATGCGCACCGCACTATTAACCAGGGTGGACGCTGGGCTCGAACCGTGAACCTCTGCAACAAGCGGCAAACTGGCTCCTCGCTCGACTAAGTCATCTGCTCGGCTACGTCATTGTTCACCAATCACAACGCCCAGGGTTCAACGAATCGCAACACGCAACGCCCCAAACAGAATCCGGCTATTCCAGTTTGGGGCATAAAACGGGCACGTGCTCAAACAGCAATAACTTAAAATAAGTATAACCCGTAAAAACAAAGTTTTTCACTATAAATCCTTTATATGCGTGGCAGCGAACTTAATATAAAGGATTTAAAAATATATTCGCCTGTGGAGGACGCGGGGATCGATCCCGCGACCTTTGGCATGGGAAGCGAGGGCGCTACCAACTGCGCTACTCCGCCACGGCCTGTGGAGGGGTTACGCTCTTGGCTCTTACACTCTGACGTTCAGCCAAAGCCATGAATTAGTTATATTTGAATATATGTAAAATAATTTTTTTTTGCCTAAAAAGTGTAAAATTTTGGGAATTTTTTTTCACGAACAATAATTGTCTGGCACAACGAGTCTGTGTGGAAAATGTCAGCTCGATTGGATCACGGGAAGTGGGTTAAAAAACGACCGAAATATTTGCACGGTTCTAAGCAAGCAAGCAAGCACGCGAACTTAATATAAAGGATTTAAAAAAAATAAAGACGAGGTTATATCAACAATTATACTGCCTAGGGAGGGTTAGAACTGAAAGCAAGTGCACTTCTGTGAGCATTGAGTTTTAAACACATTACATGATACTTACACACACACACGACATATAATTGATTCAGCTATACAGTCACCGTCATCATCAGGCACTGTCAATGCATTGCTGGAGGGAGTGATGAGCTCAGCTGAGGTGCAAGAAGGAAGATTGATCGTGGCATCAGGAGACACTACGAGATGGCAGCGACATGGGGAGGCCTTTCTCCAGCAGTGGATAGGTCGTGGCTCTCGATAACGAATGGGTAGAGCTCTGGGTAACGTCCTCGTATAATAATAATACTGATTGCATGTTTATATCGCTTTTCATCAACGATCTCAATGCGCTGTACAGGACACAGCGCCAGCAGACACTCAGCATAAACATACATTTTAAAAACCGTTTACTAAACGAACAAAAATTGTAACAATCGGAAGCGTATGCGCGTGATGGCTGCTAGGAAAATGCAGAATGCAGTGCACGGTTTCTAGTATCGTGTGTGTGGATTGCATCTAGGGTGTGGAGATTAACAGGGGCAAGTGGCATTCGATGAAGAGGAATTTCACTCGAGTTCAAACTGGCCACGTGCACACTGGTCCGTGCTATAGAGTGTTGCTGCTGTTCTTGCTGTCGTCAGCAACTAATGTCCCACGGCTGGCCACAGGCCTCCCCCCATTTGCTTCCCATCCCTTCCGTTTGTGTTAGGGAGTAGCTCTTCTCCTGCAGTCGTGACCTCTGAACTCTGTTGTCCCGGTCCCATCGCTGCTGCCACCTCTTCCGCTGTCTCCCTCTGCTTCTCTTCCCCTTCTATCGGGAGCTCCACTCTCCGAGTTAATTGTGTCCTATCATCTCACGTCAAGTTTTTTTCTCATGACATCTCCACTCCATTTCCTCGGCTTCCGACAGTGTGCTGCGTGTTCATTGTATGCACGACAGGGATGCCCAGTGCAGCTATTGACACTTGAGGTACAGCAGTGATGTACATGTACATTATCGTGTGGAGCTTGGAAAGTCCGAGGACGGGTGATTTATCCTCTCCCGTTTCTACAAACATCTCTCCGTGATCTCCTTGACGCAGTACAATCTGGTGTCTGCCAATACCCATCGACCATAATTTACTGGACATCTGTGAAAAAGGGCTTAATAGCTCATCGGATTCCTCCAGTATAAATAGATATTCTGATGAGACACTGCAGCTTGACAGTTCTATTGATTCCATGAACACAACTTCGCTGTCCCGTTCTCACATTAATAGAGTACAATTACCTGCGATTAGAATTGCAGAATCATACTTGTGCCGTGTAGTAATAACAATGACGATTGCCTGATTATGGTTTGCAATGCAACGTAAACACGTGTATTTCACGAACCTCAAGAGAACGATACAAAAGCGTATACAATTACACACATTATTATGGCGTGTTGTTAGTGATGCACAACTAGCATAAACTCAACACGTCCATAAATATGACACTGTGATCTTAAAAGAAAAACATATGTAAGACGTTTCGGACGAAGGTCCTTCTTCAAAGCACATGTGCCATGCACAAGGGCGATTACCCAAAATGTCACCTAGATTTATCCTTTTAAAGCCACGGCATTATTGACGATTTTGTAATGTGTAAATGTGCACGTGTGTGTGTATACGGCCTTCAAAGGTGCTACTCTCTAGCAGCACTTACCCTAACAGCCTGCTAAGGCTATACGGGGGGTCTTTGTAATTGTGTTTATATATGATTAGTTATGTAATCTCCTACTACAGTGGTGCCCACCATTTAATTTGACGAAGTCTTGGACCACGATAAACCGTGCTGTAAAATGCACGTTTTGCTCAATAATAAACCGCAGTATCTGCGCTGATCACTTCCGAAGGCTTTGCTAACCACCACCAGATCAGGAATCACTGCCTCACCGCATTCGGCATAAATTGCTCCTGCTGTACAGTACTGCACATGTTTATACAATGCAGTAATTGTGTTCAAATGAGGTCATATATTCTGCGTTGTGTGTAGAATATTCCGTAAGTTAAACTGCGATATGTGCGACCCGTTTACAATAATTGTCATCCCTTGCAGTAAAACAAGCTTACATATAACACAACAGTGTTGTTGGGCAGAAACATCCATGATTACATAACCCACTTACAAGTACTGTTTAAAATTAGATGTTAATGTGTTGACGTCAAATAATGTTACGTGCAGTGCGTAACACAATGACATCCACAGAAAAAACCCATTGCAGTGTATGCTGCAGAGGTGGGACAAAGTCATTGTTATGCAAGTCCAAGTCGAGTTGCAAGTCTTTGTACATTTTGCCGAGTCGAGTCTGAAGTCATCAAATTCATGACTCGAGTCTGACTCGAGTCCAAGTCACATGACTCGAGTCCACACCTCAGAGGTGGGACAAAGTCATTGTTATGCAAGTCCAAGTCGAGTTGCAAGTCTTTGTACATTTTGCCGAGTCGAGTCTGAAGTCATCAAATTCATGACTCGAGTCTGACTCGAGTCCAAGTCACATGACTCGAGTCCACACCCGCACGGGCCAGATTGGTGAACACAGCATACTATGCTGTGTTCTAGACATGTAACCTCATGCACCATTCTCACTCCACTTCTGGATGAAGGCCGATCCTCTGCTGTAGGATAGAGCTCACGGCCCTGATGCGTGTTGGCGCATGATCGTGTTCACGTATTTAGCATTAGCGCTAGGACTGCCGGAGAAAACGTGGAACTTTGGCTCAACCACATCACAACGTTAGCTCATCTTCTTGGTTCTTTCGGTAAAGTCACGTAGAATGGAAATAATAAAATAATAAAAATAAAACATAATAAAATAATTCTCACGACGTTTCGGCCACAACGCAAGCAGCCGTCCTCAGGTGGAGAGCAGGTCTGAGTCATTCAGACTGTCTACTCGACAGACCTGCTCTCCACCTGAGGACGGGTGCTTGCGTTGTGGCCGAAACGTCGTGAGAATTATTTTATTGTTTTATTTTTATTATTTTATTATTTCCATTCTACGTGACTTTACCGAACGAACCAAGAAGATGAATCCCTGCAGTCACGAAAGCTTTAAATCGAAATTTAACGTTAGCTCAACTCCACACGTGTGCGTTGGTCGTGGTTGAATACTAGGGCTCTCCCATCTGCTGTGATGAGGTGGCAGGAGCCCACCACGGAATATGCCGTCCCGACGTAATTTGGCTCGTTCACTCGAGACTGCTGGGTGAACAGAGGCGCAGGGAATTAATTTGCTCCGATCGCCCCGTTGTTGTTTCAACTGCCGCGCCTGGAGATCGAACCGTGCGGCCTCTGACTTGCACGTCGATTGTTCGAAACCATCACACAAGCGTTCTGGCGCATGGGAGGTGTTGTTTGACCATACTTCACCAATCTGGCCCGTGCGGGTTGTTGATGGGGCAGCTAGATATAGCAGGAACTAACTGCTGACTTTGCTTAAACATAAAACCTGCGCAGCTTAATTTGACCTAAAAATAGATATATATTTCCCCCGAAATACGAAGCAAGCCAACACTGATCTTCATTTGTAAAACTGTGGCCTTAAAAGGTAAATAAATATATTTGTGAGTCGCCGTTTTGAGCAATAGCACACGATGCCAGGAAGGGTTACTCATGCTCTGCACTATGAAGGGCCATTGCGCGAAACGTCGCCTACTATATTCATATATATTTATCCTTTTAAGGCCACAGTGGCGTTATAAGTGACTGCATTTCGATTCCTAAACGAGGCCCCATCGCAGGCGGAGGTAAAAAAAAAACCTCTCTTGTGGCAGCGAGACCCTGAGCGGAAGCATTTAAACCCCCCCTCCCCACCGCTGCCCCGCCACGTGATCCCGAGTCAGCTGTTCGACGTAAACATCGCATTGCGCATGCGTGGCGGTTGTCAACGGGAGGAGAGGGCGGGGGCGGAGGTGGGCGGGCCATTATCCCGGCCTCGCGCGTGCTCCCATTGGTTGTCGCGCGCGCGCGCGTTCCCATTGGTTGTCGCGCGCGCGCGCGGTGGTCGCGAGGCGCCTTGCGATTGGTTCAAGGGGTTGGTGAATGTGACCCCCCCCCGCCTCTTCCCGAAGGGCGAGGGGTGGGGGTCACATCGTGGCTCCGCCTCTTTTTTCTGCCCCGCCCCCCCCCGTGTCGCCCACTTGTTGCGTCACTGCAGATTAAGCGAACAAACGTCAACACAGGAGCCCTCATCATCATCATCATCGCAACAAACCTCTTATTTACTGCTACGACTAATAACACTCACCGATATAAAGTACACGTTCCGCTTCTAAACATGTCTATCAATTTAGCCGTAGCTCAACAGGGGAGGGCAACGTAAAAACTTGAGTCTCAATAGGCCGGGAAGAAGAAGGGGGGTTTGGTTGTGAGGTGGAGGTTTTCGGGTCTCACACGCGCACACAAAACAGTGCAGTCGAAGATCATTTGAATACAAACGAGTCATAAATATAAATAATAACGGTAGTAACCGATACATATTGACGGGAGAGAATAACATTTGCTCAAAAATATAAATACATAGGCGTCAAATTTCGGTTGTACAGTGCTGGATATCGCAGCTCCAGTGCTGTTAAACGCATAACTTTAACAAATGCATTCCTGTAATTAACATTAAGGATAACACCGTACAGTAACAATAATCATAAATATAATAAAACAGCTGCAAGCACAGCACATAGAATAGACAGTACAACGATCGGTATCGAGCACATGCATTTAAACTATAAATAATAGGTAGTTTTCGATAGAGAACAAAGCACACATAGTATAGCAATACATAGATTAGTGCTGTACGTACAGCACTTAGAATAGACACAGACATGCAGGTTATATAACAGACTGTACACAAGCAATACACCTTAGCTTATACACTACAGTATACACAGTTTATATACAGTGCGTAGAGTGCAGTGCAGTATATACAATACTAATACAATATACTTTATAGGCGATATGCAAGTAATATTGTAGTACACAGAACATAAGAGTATTGACTCCACGCACACTACATACACGGTATATAGAATACACATTCTTTACAACATTGTTCTACAGACTACAGGAGAAACCAGTACAGCTTGTACACCACACACACAGTGCGTCTGGTGCAGAATCTCCAGGGGGTTAAGGAAACAAAGAGACAGAGGGAGGACAAGGGGACAGACAGACAGGGAGACAGGCAGGGAGATAGACAGGAAAGGAGACAGGGGGACACAGGGAGACAGAGAGAGTCAAGGGGGCAGACAGGGAGATAGACAGGCTAAGAGACACAGGGAGACAGAGAGCCAAGGGGCAGGCAGACAGATAGACAGACAAAGAGAACAAGAGAGAGACAGGCAGGCAAGGAGACACAAGGAGACACAGGGAGGCAGAGAGAGTCAAGGGGGCAGGCAGGCATTCAGGGAGACAGAGAGAGTCAAGGGGGCAGACAGGCAAGGGAATCGAGGGAGAGACGGTGGAATCAAGAGGAGGAGGCAGCCAGGCAAGGGGGGAGCCCAGTCACCCGCGGTGGGGGGGCAGCGATGATGGCTCAGGCTGAAGCGAGGGACGCCGAGGCCGAGGCCGGGCCCGGCTCGCCCGGGGTGGCCCCTGCGGAGGAGCCCGTGAAGAAGCGGGCCCGCCTGGACGAGGCGGGCCGACAGGGCGGCAGTGGCAGTGGTGGTGGTGGCGGTGGTGCTGGAGGCGCGAACAGCAACAAGCTGGAGGAGAGGCTCTACTCCGTGCTGTGCTGCACCGTGTGCCTCGACCTGCCCAAGGCCTCCATCTTCCAGGCAGGTCGCCCGCCCGCCTTTGTGATGATGATGGTGGTGGTGGTGGTGATGGTCGTGGTGGTGATTTTTTTCTTCCAAAATGGTGCTGCTAATGATGTTGACTGGTTGGTGAGGATGATGATGATGGTGGTGGTCGTGGTGATGTTTTTTTCTTTCCAATATGGTGCTGTTAATGATGATGTGGAAGTGATGATGATGATAGTGGTGATGATTTTTTCCCAAAATGGTGCTGCTGCTAATGATGTTGACTGGTTGGTGAGGATGATGATGGTGGTGATGTTTTTTCTTTCCAAAATGGTGCTGCTGCTAATGATGTTGACTGGTTGGTGAGGATGATGGTGGTGGTCGTGGTGATGTTTTTCTTCTTTCCAAGATGGTGCTGTTAATGATGTTGACTGGTTGGTGAGGATGATGATGATCGTGGTGATGATTTTTTTCCAAGATGGTGTTGCTGCTGATGATGATGTTGACTTGCTGGTGGTGATGATGATTTTTTTCCAAGATATTGCTGATGATGTTGACTTGCAGGTGATGATGATGGTGGTGGTATTAATGGTGGTTAATGATTGTGGTGTGTTGGAGGTCGTACGGTTGTTGTTGATGGTGATGTTGAATATGGTGTTGGTGCTATGTTGAAGGTGATAATGTTTGGTAGTTATGGTAATGAGGGTCGTGTTTGCGATTATTGCGTCTTGGTTGTGCCCGTTGATGGTGGTATTCATAGTAATATGCTGGTGGTTATGATAGTGGTTATAACGGTCGTGATGATGGTGGTAGTGGTGGTAATAACGGTGGTAGTGGTGATGATCATGGCAGTCGTGATGTGGTGGTGGTGATGGTGGTAGTTGTGATTAAAGTGGTGGTGTTGGTAATAATAGTGGTTGTGCCGGCCTTCATAGGTGCTTACTAACAGCACTTGCCCCTAAAGTCTGCTTATGGCTATGTGGGGGGAGGTATTTATATTCATGTAGCGGTAGTAATGTTCCATCTACATCGCCATTACCCCGATCATAACCACTATCACCACAGCCATGCCTATTTATAACCACTATCATTGCCACCAGCATACTTCCAATATACTATAGGCCGTCGAACGAAAGTATTTTGTATGATTGTCTGCCTGTCTGTTTAAACATCACCCACACATGATGCAGCAGATAAAAAAAACACCTTTCTAGACTCCCTGTTCACACGTGCACTGCATACAGAGGGCATTATCACATTGTCCGTCTGCAATGTTGAGTGGATACACCTTGTGTGTTGTGCACAATAGAGTGCGCGTGTGTGTTTATAATACGCGATATGTATGCATCATGCGACGTGTGTGTGTGTGTGCAGCATTGGGTCATATATGTTATATATATGTTAAGGTGTTGAGTTGACAACACAGAAGGGGAGAAGGCCAGCCATTACGATCGCACAAAAATCTAATAAAACCCCGCCCGGTAGCTGAATAAAGGTGAAACGAGCATTCCGGCGTTTTGTCTTCATCACGACACGGTCGGTGGGTCACGAGAGCTGTGGGACCACGACCCACCTTTCCATTGCCTCGATAGTTCATACGGGGGTGGTGGGTGTGGGGTGGTTTTGGTGGCTCTGTGCGACAACTCCGTTTGACATTGAAAGCAGAGCAAAGCACTGCCTTGAATCGCGTACCTGTCAACCCATACGGTTTAGCCCGTGTTCTTGTACGTGGACATCGAGCAATTTGTTTTCTCTCTGTTTGTGTTTCTCCCTCGTGATGGGACTTTGTCGGATGAACGTTGAGATGTATAAGGGGCACGTGGTGACCAGTAAGGTCTGGATTGTTCTGTAATAAGGTAGGGCACTGATACAGGGGGTTGACAGGTATGGAATCGTAATGCACGGGCTGCATCAGCAAATGCCCTTCTGCTGCTGGTGTCGCGATGATGGTAATGGTGTGGTGGTGGTGATAATGCCCCCGCTGATGCGCGCACGCGACGTGAATATTCACGCAACACAAATTATGCGTCGGTCATGCCCAGAAGTGTCGCCTTTAAACTCGCCGAATGCGCATTGTTACAACGTGTATGTATGTACGTGGCGGATGAGGATGCTGCCTTTGCCAACGTGATTTCTGATTCAACAACGTCACTTGCCATTGTCATCGAATTGCCACCCCCCACACGTTCCACAATGAACAAATTTGTGTCTTTATAATAATTACGCGTGCGTTTTGTAAGATGGCAATGTCTCTCTTTGTTTCTTTTTCCCTCCCCACCCTGACAATTGCTGCATTGTAGATCCCGGTAAAAACTTAGCAGAACACAATCTAACCTCTGGGTCACAAAATGCTATGTGTTTGTCGCTTTCAATGGGTTAATGTGGTCTCGAACGCACACACACACACAACATTGCAGTACTGTACTTGTGGCCACGTCGCAAATATTGCTGTAACTTGTTTCGGTCTGACCTTGAAGTTTGGGATGCATAACGTCCGAGATAAATATATTTGAAACACATTGGCACAACCTATCCGCACGCTCCCACTCCACTGTTGCTCACACGCGTAAATTTCACGTATTGGATATGCTACGACTTTGTGTTGCTGATAATGTACCTTATTATGTACATCCTATATCGGTCGGTGGTTGCATGGGTGTTGTTCGTATGACATACGCTGGTCTTGCACACACATGCAGTGCTGTACCAATGGAAAAAGTCATTGTGTATTGTTTTTCATCTTTAATTAAATGTACCATTATTATTGTTTTAAATATAATAAAGAGTACAGTGTTATCATTGGTATGCCATGCATTGTTCCTGTTAACTGCCCACACTTTACACGTGTGTTGTATGTATGTATGCATGCGTCTGTAATAGCACAAGCACCATCCCCCAAAGGGCAGGCAGGATACGCTTCCGAGCCACTCCAAACAACAACAACAACAAAATCAGAATGGCTCTACGCCAGTTCACGTGACTTCCACAAGCCTCGCTGTGGTTGGTTGGTTGGGTAGTGATTGTGGTGGTGGTGGTGATGTGCAATGACAAAATGCCACGGACCAGTTTAAACCACTTCGTAGCAAAGCGCCAGCCACGGACGGTCCGGTTGGGGCAGTGCACAAATACAGACGTGGCTGGGCACGGGCCCTATCGTAGCGTGCCATGCAATCATTGAGCGTCGAAGTCGCCGAGTGGCAGGTGCCAACCCGCTAAAATTAACTCCCGCCGCACGAGGTCGAGTGTTTGCCAACCTTTTGATACGGTAGCTGTCCTGGGACAGATTCGTGGGACATTATCCCTTCCCCGGGGACTTTTTAAGATCAGTTGTGAGATAACTCCAGACAATGCGCTTGCATGTATTGTAATTTCAGCCCGCTTTGGGTTTCGTGAGATATTCGTCTTCCAATGGTTTGACCTGCTTGGTTTTTGTGTGTGTGTGTATGGCTTCTATGCAGCCATTGCTGTACCACTGCCCGCTGAAGCAGTGCAGCAGCACCGATGCACACACGCGCCAGATACACGCACAGCATACTAAATTGCAGCGCCACTCGCTAGAGCAGAGGTAAAGTGAACCCTGGCTCGGCGGCAGACTGTGCAGGTTGCATGAAATACGTCGCCAATTTACACTCTTGCTGAAACCCCGTCGTAGTCACCCATCGCTCACAACAAGCCGGTTGATAGCGACATAAGCACTTGCTTGGCTTAGTCGGAAAAAAAACACTAACGTGCTTTGTTGCTGTTTCCCACACCTTGCCGAGAACAATACCTTTAAAGAAAGGACACAACACAAACACCTGCCCTCATCTAATCAGTTTAGTTAACGGTTACATTTCAGGAAGCTACTCGCCATTTTTCAAAGGTTGACTCGCTAAACGCCATTTGCTCCAGGCCACGACCCTGGCAACTTGAGTTTGATTCCCAACCCATGGCTACCGTCAGTGGTGAGTGATATCTGACTGCTCCTCGGCCACACTGACCAGCTTGGTGAAGTATGGTCAAACGCGACTAACATGGTGTGTGGAGGCCATCCAGCAGTGGATTGACATGGTTGTCAATTCTCGTATATATCAGTTGCCTGTGCCTTCCGATCATGATGCAAAATTTCCATGGCTTCCCACTGACCAAACCCCTATTTTGTTTTATTGGTCGTGGGTTTTTGTATAAATTGAGGCCGGTGGCAAAACGAGAAGTGGGTTGTGGACGCGTTTCAGATGATTGGGTGAAGAAGACCTTGAGCTGGCATCCTGAACAGGAGAAGAAGCTGCATTAAGAAGTCCTCCGTCGTTTCTGAGGCTGGCAACAAGACCGTGACTGCTCCTGGGAGCCACTTTCCATTGGCTCTTCCCTAGTAGCAACACACCCAGGCTCTGCGTCTTGGGCTTGCATGAAGCAAACGTGCTGTTCTACATTCAGTAACAGCTCTTGTACAGCCTTGATAATGATTTGAAATATAGGGGGGTTATGGGCCAAATGCAGTGAAACATTTTCCGCGTTGGCCAATCAACAGCCATGGGTAATGCTCCGCTGTCCAACTTACGAGCTCATGAAATTGATTGGAATTCCAAGTTGGACTGTGTGGGCCCTGCCAGTCCGAGTTTGGCAAATGACAAAATTTGCCCACAAATGACCTAATCAATAAAGAAAACACATCTCAACATCGGTACTTGAAGACAGTGTCTGTAAAACATTGCCCCTTTGTGCTAGCCTTGGTGCTGTATGAATGGCGCGGGCACCATGATGATCGTTGCCCCATCCTTTTACCGTGGCATAACATTGCAGGACTCCGGTGCTCCGGGCTCTGTTTGGGTCCACTCTTCGATGTTTTCTCAATCAGGAATGGCCACACACTGTGGGTGGCGTGCAACATTCAATGGACTGGAATGGGACCCAAGGGCTGGAGATAAATAAAGGCTGGCCCAAAATCGGCATACAATATGCGTATTTTGTTCGGCTGAAAGTTATATTCATCGTGAGTGGAAAGGGACGATCGTTACATTTTTTTTTATAATGCGGCATGATGGAAATTTTTAACA